ACAGAAACATGTTTTACTCATTTACAAAGAAAAATCGGTGAAGAAGAAGAAGAAGTCCCCTCAACAAGGGTGAAGGGCTTGATAGTCCTTGGCAGCTTAATACACCTTCTTTGGGATATTTGCTGACAGGCATTGGAGCCATTAATTGTCAAGGTTCATAACTGAGCTTTATTTTAAACTTTTTTCTGCCTCATTGGTGTGTGTTGTATTTAATAGAGTTTAAAATATGAATGAATAGAGATAAGTTCAATTCTACTCCAGAGCAAGAAGTTTGGGGAGATGGGTAGGGGAAAATCTTGGCACGGTTTTAAAAACATGGGTTGGGTTAGGGAACACTTAGGCAGCATCCTGAGGCAACTAAGGGCTCAGGAACAATGAGGTGTCCAATCCACAGGGCAGGGAGTAAAGGGTTGGGAGAAGAGAGCTCTGGCGATGTGGTAGACCAGAAGTTCACACATACATTCCTTTTCCCCAAGTTAATTGTTACATAAAATGCTAATTTTTTTCTATGCTACATGGCTGAGCAGGAGGCAAAGTAAAGGAATTCCTTAGAGGTGAAAAATGATAAAGTGAGAATCTATAGGGGTAAGAAAATTCTGGAATTTAGTTAGTATTTGTCTGAGAGTCTCAGCCAATGCCTGTTTTTCTAGACTGTGTATTATAATAAGCAGAGAGTGCATGTGGGACAGGAGACAAAACATGGGCCCCTCGTGTTCTTATATAAGGTATTGATTAACTTTAAGTTTATTAAGATGAATATGTGAGATGTGATTTCTAAAGTCTCTACTTACAGATAGAAACAAAGTATATAGCTTCCAAATGGGAGTAAAGTGAGGGGGGAAAGAGAAAGAAATGAGAAGGGGGGGGAAATCAAATAAAAGAAGGCAAGAAAGAAAGTAAATTAACAAATAGCAAAAACCAAGATGGTATAAATGAATCTAATTTAACAATAATCACAATCCACATAAATAATTTATGCTCTGCAATTAAAAACCAAAGGGTTTTAGATTATATTTTTAAAATTTAATTTTAAACTATTTATGAGAGAAGCCCTAAAAAACAATAAGGATAGAGGAAGACTCCAACTAACATAATGGGTAAAGATGTACTGATTAATACTCTACAAAAGAAAGCAAGAGTGGCTGTAATGAATATCAGAAAACTAGACTTCAAGATAAAAAGCATTAACACAAATGAAAAAAATGACTACATATTAATAAAAATGTTCAATTTACCAGGAAGATGTAATTCTAAATATGTGTGCTCCTAATAGCATAATTTTGAAATATATCAAAAGGAAATTGTGAGAACTACAAGAAAAATTATCACATCCAAAATCACAGAGGAGCATTTTCACACATCTCCCTCAAAATTGATAGATCAAATAGATAATAATTCAGTAAGGAGCCTAAAAGATTTGATGAACACAATTAACAAGCTTGATCTAATGGACATACGCAATGTACCAAAAACACATTCTTTTTAACATGTGGAACGTTTATCAAAATGGATCACACAGCAGCCCACACAATAGAGAAACACAATAGAGAAAATCTCAACAAAATTCAAAGAATCTATATTATACATCCCAGGTCCTCTAACAGTTAAATTAGAAATCAATAATGAAAAACTAACAAAGGAGACCCCCTACTTCTGAAAATTAGTGGGTAATAATTTTAACACATGACTCAAAGAAAAAATCAAACTAAGAAATAGTAAGTTTTAGAACTGAGTGATCATGAAAACAACTCATCTGAACTGGTGGGTAAAGCAATGTCAAGGGAAGACTGTAGCCTCACTTCTCTTGCTAGAGATAAAGTCTGCAAAGTAATAGACTGAGCATTTAACTCAGAAAGTTAGAAAGAGAAAAGCAAATGCACCTGAAAAAAGAAGAAGGAAGGAACTAATAGAAATAAGAGTAGAAATCAATGATAAAAAATCTATGATCCAATAGAAAGTTTCAAAAAATAAACTGAAATTGTTTTTTTTTTTGTTCAAAAACTAATACAACTGAGAAGCTGCTGGTAAGATGAGAAAAGACACCAATAACCAATATCAGGAATGAAAAGGAGAGCATTTCCGTAGATTCTGCAATCTACAGAAAAAACAGGATGTTAATGACCACTTTATGACAGTTATTTTGAATATTTAGGCAAAATATATAAATTCCTGAAAACATGTAACTCCCAAAATTAATCCAAGAAGAAAGACAAAACTTGCATCGCCCAATAATCAGGAAAGATAGTGACTCATTAGTCAGAATTTTTGCCATAAAGAAAACATCAGACTTAGATGGTTTTGTATGTTCTACAAAATAAGCAGGAAATGAATCATTCTAATCTTATACAAACTATTCCAGAGTGTAGGAAAATAAAGGGACACTTGCCATTTTATGAATCAGTGATATCTTTGAAACTAAAAATAAATATCTACAAACATGAAAATGCAAATTTTTTTAAATGTATAATTTACAGTTAGCAAAAGAAAAATAGAAATCATAAAGGAAGGAAAACTAACAAAAGATATGCAAAACCGTATTACAAAACTTCAGAAACATTATAGAAGACTTAAACAGAAAAACACTTTTCATAAATAAGAACACAGTATTCTAATTAAAGATGTTAATTTTCCCCAAATTGATAAGTAGATTAACACAATTCCCATCAAAACTCAAAAATATTTCTGTAATATTTTTAAATGATTCTAAACATTATCTGGAAGAACAAATGGTCAAACATAGTATGAAATTTCTGCATAAGAAGGAAGAGAAGAAACATGCCCTGCTGGCAAACAAGGGCTAGAAAGCAACAGGAATTCAATTGCTGTGGTATTGCCGGAGGAAAAGATTAATAGACCAGTGGAACAGAATTAGAAAGCCCCAAAATACACCCACACATACAACAAAACTTGATGTACTGCAAAATTGGTACCGCAGATCAGTGGAGGAAAAAAGATGTACTAAGTAAACTTTGCTGGGACAAATGAAAAATAAAATAAAGCCTACCATACATAAAAATCAATTCTAATTTTAAATGGATGAAGACCTTAAAGTGAAAAACTAAACTTTAAAAGTGCCAGCACATCAAAGAATATTTTTGTGGTATTAGGGTAAGGATAAGTTTCTTAAAGAAGATATAAAAAATGAAAATCAGGAAGGGAAAGATTCATAAACGCAACTACATTAAAAGTAAGAACATCTATTCAACAAAACACATCTATTCACCAAACAGAGTAAGAAGAGCCACAAACTGGGAAGTGAGGTACATAGACTGAATACTGACAAAAGGTTAGTATCTAAAGTATATCAGGACCTCCTGCAAGTCAATAAGGAAAGATATACAAATCAGCTGAAAATGGGCAAAGGCACAAACAGTTCACAAAAGAGAAAGCATAAATGATAAAAAATACATATATTAAAACATACCAAATATCGTTAATGATTTTAAAAAATTAAAACCATAATAAAAGGATATTTTATACCCACCAGATTAGTAAAGTTAGCTTGACATTACCAAGTGCTAGAGAAGATGTGAAGCAAGAAAAAGACTCAAATATTGATAGTAAAAGTATAAATTGCAAAGGGAAACATTTTGGAGCTGTGTGATAAAATTAAACACATTTATACTACATAACCCAGCAATTCCAATCCTCTATTTAGACCACAGAGAATGCTAATAGCAGCATATAAATAACAGAAAACTGGAAATAATGGAAATGCCCATTGATGGGGAAATGGGTAAATAAATACAATGAGATAATGTACGGCAGTAAAAAATGACAATACTACAGCTTTACACAATAACATACATAGATTTTACATATGGTTGAGCAGAAAAAGCAAGTCACAGAAATTTATCTGAGCATATGGTTCAAAAGCAGATAATATTAAACAATTTTATATATATTCATATATATATATATATATTTGCTATGGAAGCACAACAGGACAGTGACCTCTGGAAGGAGGGAAGTATCTATAAGCAGTGAGAAGCGGGTTTGGGGTGGACATGGGCTCATAAAATAGGCTTCAAAGGCACTGACTGTATCTTCCTTGCATTGCATTATGCACATATGTGTGCTTTTCATATTGTCTCCCTTTGTAATATACATTTGTGTTCTCTACAATCTTATGTGTGTATGGTGTATTTCACAATAAAACAGTAAGTAAATAAATAAGCAAATAAATAAAACAAGGCCAGAGACTGCAGAACTACCATTGAAGTCTGTTACATAAGACTGGGCCCAGTAGGTTCTGAGGGATGAATATGAGAAAGCAAAGACTGCTTGACGCGCTGATCCACGCCTGAAACTGGAGAACAGCTTCACTGGAGTGAGAGAAAAGCTTTGAGGTGGGGCAGAGACTCCTGACGGTGCCCTAGGAGGTTGGCAGGGAATTTCATGAGAAGTAAATGAATGATTTGAGGAGGAAAACTTGAGTAAAGGAATGTTGACCTTCTTTTATATCCAGGAAGCTACATAATTTGCACTCTTGCAGATACAAAAAAAGATACCGTCTTTTAATAAAGACATTGGTATCAGTTACTTAAACATATAAAGGTTTAATTTCCCTCAGCAGGAGGTCCAGAAGGAGGAGAAGCAGAGTGGGTTCCTTGGATTAGCAATATTTTCCAAATCCAGGCTTCTCTGCTTCTCCACTCTGCCATTTTTAGTGTGTGGGCTTTTTTCTCTCATGTACAGGAGAGCTTCAACTTCTCATCTACTTTTAATACATCATTAGGGTATTTGCCTGACTCTTTTGTCCAGTAAAGACTTTCTAAGAACTTTCCCATGGCCTTCTATTCACATCCTAGTGGTCAGAATGGTGTCACATGGCTCTTTATTGCTGCAATGGAGGCTGGGAAAGTATTTTGCCAGTGTGGCCTAGATAGTAGAAGCAGGCAGGAATGAAGCAGACTGGAGTGGCAGTGGCTTCTGAGCAGCCATTCAGCAGTTTCTGTCAAAATCCTTCACTAAGAGAGTTCTCCCTCCTTTCTCCCCAGGAGCCAGTCTACTTGATGACTTGTATAAATATTTCTCCTTCCATCACTCCCAAGGAGACACAATGACGGTCATGGATCCGAAGGAGATGAGTGTAGCTGCTGCTGTCTGGGCTGTTGTGTCTTATGTCGTTGCAGACCTGGAAGAAATGCTGCCCAGATCCTAGCAAGAACGTAAAAGAAGGCGGTTTGCCCTTTCTAGCCAGGAATCCTGGGCCTTCAGCTTCAGGAAGCCCCTATTCACTGAACAATTGTATCTGATTCATTTTCAAAACACATACTTTTTCACAGTATTATCCTCTTTTCTGATACTTCCCACATTCTCTGTTTCTAAAATAAGGAATGATTTTCTTTCCACCCCCACATAAAATCAACATATGGTAGGGGACAGAGTGGGGGCCCTTTTTTTCACCGCCTATAAAAAATACTGTTTCTACTTGAAAGTGAGATACTAGACAGATCATTTATATGTGTAGTTATGAACATTAAAGCAAATGCAATGATACTAATTTTTGTTTTATGTGTCATTTATTGAAGGGTAAGAGAGATATACAATTGTAGTGATGGCTTAATTGAATATATGAAGGCATTTGGCTTTCTAATTCATATGTTTTTATTAAGACATGAATTTCTAATTAAGAATAAAAAAGATGTCACCATTTAGTGGAAAAAGTCAAGTGTATATAATCCCATTGCCTTATTAAAGAAGAATACTAGGTCTATCACTGATCATACTGTCTTACATTTGTGTCTTACAAATTTCACAAAATATTTTATGAAATTAAGGCTTGTTCACATTTTACTGGTAAAAGTACTGAGGCTGAGAGAGGCTAAATATACTTACAGTGTCCTACGGAGCAAAAATATTGATTCAAATCTATTCTGGAAACAATCTCTACTATTCCTCCATACACAATGCCCGGTATTCAATAAAAAATTACAAGACACACCAAAAAAAACAAATAAATAAATAAACTCATTTATATCCTATTAAGCTAGTCTTTTCCTTTTCCTTCAAGATCAGCAAAAGGAATTTTTCCTCAGCAGGAACACAGCCACACTCAGGACCCCCACTTCCCTCCACTTAGAACTACCACACTTTCTGCTTGTCAGCCCTGAGCAACATCTCTAGATCATTCCCACAGACTGTACAACCCAAAACGAGGTCCACTTTGTATTCTCCACAGATCATGCTATAATTTTTAACTCCCAAACACTTTGAAAGAGAAAAACTGTCACAAAATTGTAATCTACTTTCAAATTCCCACCAGCTGGCAAAAGTGTCATTTTCTCTGCTACCAACTGCCTCCTGAGTCACTGAACCCACCTATTCCTTCCAGGAAACTAAATCCTTTCTCCACCCCCACCTTCTGCATAGGGTTTGGGATTGAACCCCCACTGCCTATATCCTAGAAGTAGTTCTAAGAAAGTGGATCCTGTTCCATAGCTTTGACTTCACCCATAAGATTGTCTATTTCTCTTGGAAAAAAATAGTTATAGAGGAATAAATTGTAGCAGAAATGGCCCCTTTCTTAACTGGGACCTTTCCTGCTACCTTCCTAGAGGAGTGTGGAGGGCTGTGTGGAGGAACATTGTGAATTTGAGCAGGTGGGGAAAGTATTGGTGAGTGTGGGTATCAGGACCACTAACAGAAGGGGAGAAATATATGACAGTTGGGAACGTAAAAGGGTAGAAGAAGAAATGCAAAGCAAAGGGAGAGGTCTATATAGTGTTTTCTCACAACAACTCCACCTGCACTTCATAAATGCGTAGGTCTGCCAGCCAGCTGTGGAGCCTGGCACACGCTGTAGCTATAGGCACTTTTAAGCACAATTCTATTTGCCACAAATCAATGTAAAAGGAACAGTTTGCTAAGAAATGATGGATCATTTGAGTGGCAGCCTATCCCCTTTGCTTACAGTAGCTTTCCAATCTGACTTTTAGGGTCAAGTTGCTTTTCTAATTCATTTGTCTGAGTAGACTTAAGTGCAGATTTAGAAGAGAAACCCATTTAAATATGGTGTAATGTGAAAAGGGTGAATTTTGTAGCAGAAGAAAGAGGAATTAGAGGGAAAGAAGGTTGACTGCTGATTTGACCTTCACACTGCCAAGATGTGGTTCTGAGGGCTGTAGTGTGTCTAAATGACTGAGAGTTTGGGTTGCCACAGTGTTCCACCTCCCTCACAGTAATTACACAAATGACAGCAGAGTGTTTTGACAGTGCTCACACGTCTCTGCCACAGGCATTTTGTTGTCATGCAGTCCTATTTGCTCAGTATGCTCCCTTCATAAAAATTGGAGATGCTTCCCATTTACCTTGAGTAAATATCAGCCAGATCTTGATATCTATATCTGTCTCATGAAATATACATCCTAACTGTGCCCAAATGATTAATTTACTGCTATGACATGATTAGCACAAAAATCCCATCACAATACAAAATAGAAATGTTATCACTAATTGCTATTTGAAGTGAAGTTTTTTTTGTTTGTTTGTTTGTTTTTCATAGAAATTAATGATGCAGGCTTACTGCTCAATTCTGTTAAACCAGAAAACCCAAAACTGTTTCTGGTGCAGAAAAAAATTACCTTTGAAGTGTTTTTTTTTTCTTTTCTGTCCCTTAGATGATTCATACTTCAGTGAAAAAAGTGGTGTAAGGCAATGGTTAATGGACCTTTTGTACACAAAATGAGGCAGATGAACTCCACTCTCATCTGATCAGGTCTTTTGGTGAATCACTCAACTTCAGGCAAAGGCCTTTTCCCTGGACATGAGGGCCCTCCTGTGGCCCTGAAACTTGACCTAAACACTCTCACATTTGCGGTATATCCCAACAGTGCTCAAGTCCTTAACATCATTGGTGGCCATTCCAGGTCTGCTCAAGCAGCCACACAACCAATGGTGAGCTTGACGGTACCTTAGAAAGCTTTGTTCCATATTCCAGGTTTAAAGAGCATTTAGCTATGCCTTCATCTTGATGATAAAGTCACACCCAATTAGTTCTCTTAATTCCTTATAAATTCCAACTAGTTTATTCAGAGATTGTAATGGAACATGAATTACCCCCACGCTCTGCCTTGCCATCCAAACTATCACCATTATTGCTAGTAATCTTCCTGGGCCAATTATGCTGCTAAGAACTTTATACTATGCATTTTCCCATTTAATCCTCACCCAATGCAGTGAAGTAAGTCTTATTTTAATTCTCATTTTAGAGACAAGAAAACCTGGGTATACAGCTCCAAAGTAACTTGTCCAAGTTCACAGAGTTGATAAAATGGGGAAGAAATCTAGAAAATTCAGGCCCAAATATCTCCTGAGACAAACCTAAATTCTCTGGCTAATGACTCTTCTAGCTTTCACTGTGTGGGTAGATCCGATCAAACTGGTGCATTTCCATTTCGAGGAATAGAAAGTAGTGTCTGAACAGTGCCACAATTTGGCCCAAGAAAAAGGGTCCTTGTGCTTTTAGAGGTCCCCACATATCACAAACACACACCAAAAATAAATTTATTATGGGATCTGTGGATTCTTCTGTCACCAGGAACCTAGCGTTCAGGACCTGCACAGCATGGCTCAGGACTTGGAGCCCCACTTTCTGGCTAATGCCATCTAGGTCCCCAAGAGACACTGCTCCTCAGGTCGTGCCTCTGAGTAAAGACTGCCTGCATGTTGGGAACAGAGACACTGCATCTGAGAGCGAAGATCTGAGGAACAGAAGTACTGAAGAAGAAAAGACAAATTCATTAACTTGTCAAATCTTTCCTCTCAGATGTATGAGAATGCAATAGATGCTTGCATAATGAGGTATTGTTTCCCAGAAGTACTGAGCATCCATTTTCTTAATTCTCATCAAGTTCTAATGTGTGGTTCCTTCTGAAAGTACTCATAAATAGGCATGCTCTTCAGAACAGTTGTACATGGTGGCATATTGCATTATTTAATACATGTGATATTAAATAATTTGTATTCCTCATAGATTTGAGTATCTGTTAGTTTAGGCATAGTAGTTTTAAAATCTAATATTCATAGCTTAATGGCAACTACATGGACATTTCATAGTAAATTTTAAATAGTTTATTTTTGTAAAATTAGTATTATATATAACAAACATTTTAAAATTTAAATTAAAATGTTCACTTTATTAACATATTTTTATTTTAAAATTTGCCATTTATTAATTCCAGTATATATTTCTCTTTAAGCCAATAGTTAATTGTTAATTATTTTTTATTGTATTTTAAAGCACACATAATGAGATTTATCATCTTAACCATTTCTAAGTGTACAGTTCAATGGCATTAAGTACACCCACATTTTTCTGCAGCCATCTCCACCATTCATCTCCAGAATTATTTTTATCTTGCAAAACTGAAACTCTAACTAAATAACAAACCCAATTAAACACTAACATCCCATTACCCATCCCCCAACAACCACCCTTCCACTATCTGTCTCCATGAATCTGACCACCCTAGGTAATTTATATAGGTGGAGTCATGCAAGATTTGTCCTGTAATCAGCATTTCATTTAATATAATGTCTCAATGTTCATCTATGTTGTACAATACATCAGAATTTCCTTCCTTTGAAGGCTGAATAATATTTCATTGTATGCTTATATCACATTCTGTTTCTCCATTCATCCATCAATGTTGATAGACATTGGATTTCTTGGCTATTGTGAATAATGCTGCTATGAATATGAGAATACAAATATCTCTTGCAGATATTGTTTACACTCAGAAGTAGAATTTCTGGATCATATGGTAAATCTCTCTTCAATTTTTTGAGAAACTGCCATGTTGTATTTTACTGTGGCTGTACCATTTTACATTCCCTCCAACAGGGCCCAAGGGTTTTGATTTCTCCACATTCTAACAAACATTTGTTATTTTCTGTTTGTTTGTTTGTTTGTTTGTTTGTTTGTTTTAATAGTAGCCATCTTAATGGGTGTGAGATAGTATCTTATTGTGGTTTTCATTAGCATTTTCTTAATGATTAGTGATGCTAGGCATCTTTTCACATGCTTATTGTCATTTGTATTTATCTTCTTCAGAGAATATCTATTCAAGTCTTTTGCCCATTTTTGAATCGAGTCGTTTTTCATTTTTGAGTATTAGGAGTTCTTTTTAACATATTCTAAATATTAACCCCACATCAGAGATGTGATTTGCAAATGTTTTCTTTCATTCAATAGGTTGTCTTTCACTCTATTGATTGTGTCCTTTGATGCAGAGAATTTTTATATTTTCATGTAGTCTATTTTATTTTTTCTTTTGTTACCTGTTCCTCTGATGTCATAGCGAAGAAACCTTTGCCAAATCCAACATCATGAAGCTTTTCCCCTATGTTTTATTTAGCTTTATAGTTTTACTTTTTACATGTAGCTCTTTGACCCATTTTGAGTTAATTTTGATTTATGATATGAGATAAGGGTACAACTCATTCTTTTGATTGTGGCTATATCCACATTTTGTAATATTTATTGAAAAGACTGTCTTTCCT